TGGAATGATTAACAAAGGAGAGATTTTCTGTAAACTTGTCCATTCAGAGAAAAGGTGTAGAAAGTAAGTCTCTTTAGTTCTTTGCCAAATTCCATGAGGATTTCTCTAACTCTTTCAGAATTATGTAGTTTTAAGAATTCAGAAAAACCAGGAATAGCACTCCATCCTTACTATCATTCCTAATAAGCCAGCCTCTGCTATAACTTATTCTAGAACTTATCCAGGGAGAGTTAATACAGTGGGCTCTGCAGAGCAGTCAGCTCTGTGTTGCATGCTGGGATAAAGATTATGACCGTGCGTTCTCATTTACACGGCTCTCTGTGAACACTACACTGCATTGCAAGTGAGAGCTTCCACATGGAGAAAGAACTGCAGTACTCCCCGCTTAGTGGCAGGAGATTAGATCCAAGATCCCCAGTGGATGCCTGACATCCTGCATATACTGAACCCCATATATACTATGTTGTTTCCTACACACACATCCCTCTGATAGAGTTTAATTTATAAATTAGGCACAGTAAGTATTTAACAGCACTAATAACAAAACAGAACAATTATAACAATACACTGTACTGATAGTTATGTATATGTGGTCTCCCTCTCAAAGTGTTTCATTGTACTGTAATCAACTTTCACTTAAAGGAAGCACGTTTATGGCTTCTCTTTATTGTATCTAAACTGCCATCATCACTACTCTTGCGCGTTAGGGCCATTATTAAGTAACATAGGGCTACTTGAACACAAGCACTTCAGTACCACAGCGGTGGATCTGATAACCAAGATGGTGACTAAGAGGCTAATGGGCGTAGAGCATCAACAGCGTGCACACACCCTGGACGAAGGGATGAATCACCTCTTGCGAGGGGCTGCAGGAGCTTTCATCACACTACGGAGAAAGGTGAGCGATTTAAAACATGCCTCATTTACTGGAATTTTCCATTTAATGTTTTTGGATCAGGGTTGACCATGGGTAACTGAAACCACAGAAAGCAAAACTGTGGATAAGAGGGGACTCCTGTACAATTAAATCATAGAAAATCCCTGTTTCCTGTGGTATAAATGCAGAGGCACAGGCTAGGAAAAAATGTTGTAACAATTGGGTATTTATTTCCCTGTCATAAAGAAAAACCCGCAGGGAATTATACCTTGGGCATTTGTGCCAGATGACATAGCATTCTTTTTGCTTTTACTCAACAACAAAGGTATCTGAGTGTCATCCTGTGCACATACCCAGTATAGATACATTTCTTTTAGAGGAACAAGCCACTGATTTTCTTGCACAGGGTTGAGCTGACATTTTCAGTAGGCCTAGAATACTGATTCATCTCCCCAAACTAGTCCTCTTCTCTAGCTCATTCCTAAGAATCAGTATTATTTAAATATATATATATATATATGTGTGTG